AGAAATAAGAGAGAGAGGACTTGGGTCTCTCTGGAGCTGTGGAGCAAAAGAAACTTGTGAACAGACAAACAGAACCAACAAGGAAATAGACCAAAGAGAACTAGAGATGCACACATCAAATGTCGTATTCCATTTTCTTTTCTAACCTGCTGCTATTTTAGAACCTTTTTTTTTTCGAAAATGTATTTTAGAATCTTTTGTAGAATGACTATCCATTTTGATGTCAAATATTATGAAATTGATCATTCAAGAAGACACCTTCGAAATTGATGCATTATGTGAGAAGTATGCACCATGTGTCCTCCAAATTTTGAAATTTCCATGTATTTAGATGCATGTATCTATTGCTTAGCACAAGAGTGTCCAACAACAACAACAACAAACGCAGTGATATCCCACAAAGTGGGGGTCTGGAGAGGGTAGAGTGTATGCAGACCTTACTCCTACCTTACGAAGGTAGAGAGGTTGTTTCTGATAGACCCCGGCTCAAGAGAAAAAACTAAAAAGGAAGCAGAAACAACAAGTAGTAACCATAGCAAGCAAAGGTGATATAATGACCGAAGCGAAAGAAACGACATATAGTAAAAGAAATATGCGGATACGAAGAAATGAAAATACGAGACTAACACTAATGAGACCGACATATAAATAAGACACGCCTGCTTAACCACTACCCTTCTACCCTAATTCTCAACCTCCATACCTTCCTATCAACGGTCATGTCCTCAATAAGCTGAAGTAGCCCATGTCATGCCTAATCACCTCTCCCCAATACTTCTTAGGCCTACCTCTACCTCTACCTCTCCTCATCCCCCCATAGCCAACCTCTCACCCATGGCGCCAATTAGGACTGAGCCAACTAACTAACCCAGGGGGAATTTCTTGGTTATACCTTATTATATTGCAGGTTTTGATCATAATACTTCACACCACACACTACAAATCTCAACTTGAATGCCAACTATATCTTGTGAATGTGCTAAAGCAAGAGCATATCAATATATGATTACATGATCAGTTGATGTTTACAAGGCCTTCAGCCTCACAGAGGAACATCATTCCCCTACCCACTTGCTAGATGCATTCCCTATATCAATGAATTTACTTGAAAATCGAATGGGGAAACCTTACAGCAGATATAAGATTACCATTTTATTCAAATGCAAGACATGAAAACTTAAAACAAGAAGCTTATTCCGGATACTGGAAGTCATCATAATACTGAATTCAGCTTAGCTCTTAAAGTCAACACTGTATTTCTGAAGCTTAAAGTCTAAAGATGCTTGGATTCATTTTTGGACGCCTTGAACATCACGTTCCATGCGCTCATCTTTTATGAGGCACTTCCTAGATGCCTCAGTGATATCATAGAATTGACTTGAATAATTACACAGGAGTAAACAAATCAGAGAATCAGGATGCCATTCAATTCAAGTAAAGAACATGACAGCTTAAAGGAAGCTAACTTTTAAAGAAAGTTTACCACAAACTGTAACAGCCAGCCCCAATAATGCATCTAAAGCTTCAGTTACTTTTGACAGGCATGTGATTATCTGCATTTGATGTATCAATCTTTTCATTTGACCTTTTCCATTCTTTAATTCCTTCACCATCCCTCCCTCAGCAGCAACCACTACCTTCTTTTGATGTGTGACATCAAGTACCCAAGCAACATGTTCGTTCCATTCTTTGTTTCTTTGTTTGATAGGTAAAAGTTGTCAAATTCCTCTGTATAAGTGAACTTTTGTTCCATTCTTACAAAATGCTTTTTTATAAAGTAAAGAATTTTATTAACGATGAGGGAAAATCCCGTATAAAAGCCGTATACTAAAAAAGAACCTACACCGCAATATGGTTCTCTACAAAGTAACCCAATCATTTATACACACAGGAACCTCATGGGTACACCAAAAAGTAACTAGAAACAAAAGGCTATTTTGCAATTTGATGAAATCACTCTCTACTCATTCAAGAGTTCTCGTGTTTCTCTCTTTCCATAAAACCCACATAATGGCTAATGCTAACCAATTCTTATGAAATATCAAATCTATACATATATATTAGGACATTTTTAATCACGTAGCAAACTTAGCAAAAGCTGTACTGGCACCAGGTTGGTTTAGTGGAGTCAGGAGTGGCATTGCAAAAAGCTCAATTCCTTAGTGCATGTGCAAGTAACTAAGGAACTACCATTTGTTTCAATATGTAACATTTAAATCCATTATCTTAGTGAGGACATGACAGTGGATAGGAAGTTGTGGAGGTCGAGAATTAAGGTGGAAGGTTAGTAGGTAATAGAGCTTTCTGTCTGTCCTTACTGATAGTTTTAGTATTACTCTCATTTAGTGTTATTCTTTTTGTATAACTGTGGTATCCGGGCCAACTTGTACGCACCTCTCATTTAGTCTTATTCTTGGTTGTCTATATCCATCTAATGTGCTTCTGCTTCGCTTCTTCGCTTCTGTTACTATCTTCTTTGTTGTTATTGCCTTTTCCATGTCTTTTTCATTACTTTATTTCCTTTGCTTTGTTGTTGCGACGATGTTGAGTCGGGGTTCTATTAGAAACAACCTCTTTATCTACACAAGCAGGGGTAAGGTCTGTGTGCACACCATCCTCCCCAAACCCCACTTGTGGGATTCCATTGGGTTTTTGTTGTTGTTGGTGGTGGTGGTGGTGTCTTACACCAAAGAGCTAGACTATAGATACGTTTGTTCTTGAGCTTCATAATGCTTTCCTCTCTTCCTTTCAAAATTCTCTGATTTCTTCTTTCCATATCACCCACCACACTGCTACAGTACCTAAGGAAGTACCAAACTATATGTAACATTTACATCCATTGTCTTACACCAAAGAGCTAGACTATTGATACATTTGTTCTTGAGCTTCAGAATGCTTTCCTTTCTTCTTTTCAAAATTCTCTGATTTCTTCCTTCCATATCACCCACCATACTGCTGCAGGAACAGTGTTCCAGAAGAATAATTAACGAAATCCTTATCTCCGCGTGCAAGAACGAGATTTCTTTTTTAGGTATGAAGGAAAAATAAGTTGCTGTTTTCAAATCAAAGGTCATGTCAGTGCTAGATGGTACATAAGCTTTTTCTATTGGGTGTATAGTTTTGAATAGATCTCTAAGTTTTACTTTGAGTTTCAAGGGGTGTGTAAGAATGTTGAAGAGTTAGTGTAAGCATGTTACAATTAAAGTAATAGAAGAATTAACTCTTTTAAGGCTCACCGTTTAAGAAGAATTAAGTCTTAAGTTGGAATTATCCCACATTGGACAAATATCATATGTGTCTCTTCATTAAGACCTATAAAGAGGTAGAACAGCTTCGGAATTTACCCGTTACCCAATAAAGATGCAGACCTTGTACTCATCAAATTTCAAGTAATCGATATTTCTCTTCTCTTATTTTCTCATGGTATCTAAAGGTCACATATAAAATACTTGAATATCTGTACTGATCGACAGAAATATTTGAATTCCAAAATCACCCAAGAGATGTATCTATAAGTTACTAACATGCGTAAATAGTAAAAGGAATCTTTCAACTACCTATGACTTCAGAATTTTTTTCTTTTTGGGGGATAAAATGACTTCAGAAATATTTATATAATCAAACTTTCATCTTCCTTTTTCAGTATGCACACTTCAACCCAAAATTTTAATAGTAGTCTATATCTTGACTGAGAGTATGCACGTGCTGTTCCCAGCAACGAGGAATTCTTTCTCATCATGAACACCAACCTCAGATGTGTCTACTCCTTTCTTTTCACTCTTGTTTTCTAGCTAAACAGGATATTCGGATAAGATAAACTTACTGCCTCTCATAGGCTACCACGAAGAGCCCCAAGAAGCACGCCTCCAACCCTAGTGCAGTAATGTAGGATGATCTACTCCTGTTTCACTTGAGCCAATAGCAAGAAATTCTGCAGCTCATGTATTCTTTCTTCTTCTACTTACTGGGATTATTCCTCATGATAAATCAACTTATAGCCTGTTTAGACAAGCTTCTCCAAGGCCAAAAGCACTAATGCTTTTTTTCAAAGTTGAATTGTTTGGCCAAGCTTTTGGAAGAAAAAAAAGTGCTTTTGAATAAAAGCAGAAGCAGAAAAAAGTAGCTTCTACCCCGAAGCACTTTTTTGAAAAGCACCTTTGAGAAAAATACACTTTTATACACTTTTATACAGCTTGGCCAAACACTAATTGCTGCTCAAAAATGCTTTTTAAATCAATTAGCTAAACACAAACTGCTTCTCACCAAAAGTACTTTTTAGAAAAGTACTTGCGCTTCTCAAAATAAGATGATTTTAGAAGATTGGCCAAACAAGCTATTATTTTGAACCATTCAAGCATGGTTCGTCAAGCCTAATTACATGTATCTACCTAACATATTTCATTCTGTAGAAACAACCATGCGACCAAGGACAGTCTCTTATAAAGCAAGATAAATTCAGCATAAGCACATCTCACAGTGATATGATACCATCCATGCACTGAAAATTTTCGTTGAAACATGATATAATCATTCACAAAATATCCGGTGCAAACCAAAGGTTGATTGCAAGTCATGCAAACTACATGTTGTAGCACCTTTACAAGTGATAAGCTCCTTTTGTTTGTCCCAATGGTGCAGAGTTCCATGTATTCCCTCAAAAAACAACCCTATTTCTCCTACCAACTCATAGTCTAACACTTCATCATCCCACAGAAGAAAAAGATTTCTACATGAACCTACTGAACATTTCTAGTAACATAAGAATAAGGGCAGTATAAGAATAGCAATATGAAAGAAAATCCACATTTCTAGTCACAAAGAATAATGGCAGTACGCCAGTACAAACTAATAATATGGAGAAATTCAAGGGCACAGAAAGATAGTAATACTGCTGNTTTCATTCTGTAGAAACAACCATGCGACCAAGGACAAGTCTCTTATAAAGCATGATAAATTCAGTATAAGCACATCTCGCAGTGATAAGATACCATGCATTCACTGAAAATTTTCGTTGAAACATGATATAATCATTCACAAAATATCCAGTGCAAATCAAAGGTGGATCGCATGTCATGCAAACTACATGTTGTACCACCTTTACAAGTGATAAGCTCCTTTTGTTTGTCCCAATGGTGCAGAGTTCCATGTATTCCCTCAAAAAAACAACCCTACTTTCTCCTACCAACTCATAGTCTAACACTTCATCATCCTACAGAAGAAAAAACTTTCTAGCACAACACATGAACCTACTGAACATTTCTAGTAACATAAGAGTAATGGCAGTATAAGAATAGCAATATGAAAGAATATCCACATATCTAGTCACATAAAGAATAATGGCAGTACGCCAGTACAAACTAATAATATGGAGAAATTCAAGGGCACAGAAAGATACTAATACTGCTTATAATATGAATATGGAAATAAAGCAAAAGAAATATTACATCTTATAGGCTTTGATGTAGATGCTACCGCCAGAGCCGCCGCCACCTTTGACGCCTCCATCACCTCCATCAGCCAACACACTGCCATTCACTTCAAGAAACTTGTCCACCAACAGCATTATCTTTCCACCTCCACCCCCACCATAGTCCACAACCTTACTTGTGGTCCCGCCTTTACTCCCATAACTCCATGGCATTTGCAATGTGGACCATCCATAAGCATCCCCGCCCCAAACATCCTCCTGAATCTTTTTTTCATCCGTCAAACAACACGCCCCTCGTCCCCCGTACCCTCCACCCGCTCCCTCCACTCCCTGTGGCGTCCCACTCGTCTGAGCTGGCGCTGAACCAGCCAAACCAGTGGTATTCACAGCTGAACTATTACTAAATGTAGCGTTATCCGCCACCAGCTGGAATGTTCCAACTAGTATCACGGAATTCTCACCCAAAGTGAAGTTCCCAGTCACATTAATCCCAATTTCACAACCGGTAAAAGTACAATTTACGGTCACGTTTGGAAGGACATAAAAATTTCCCTTCCCTTCTATATACACACTCTTAGTGATATTCACATTGGACACAATCTTGCAAGTTGTATCCAACGACCCAACGCCGCCAAGATCGTCCTCGCATGATACCGACGGCGGGTGCGGCGGCGGAGGTGGCGGCGCCGGCGGGGAATAGTCTTGATGGAATAGAATTAACTCGGAATCATCGTCTGAATAACCCGAAATCGATAGAGGGTTTACGAAAAATACCAAAAAAAGTAGGAGAGTCAAAGCCATTGACTGATGAAAATAGTCATCACATCGGACAGTGATAAAGATCGGATTTTTGCATCGCAAATAGGGAGAAAAAAATCCCACCTCAAAAAATCCGCCCAAAATCAAACCGTATAAAGATTAAGCTTATACTGAACAAAACCCAGTTGGGTTTTTGTAGAAAGACAGCTGTAATAATAAGTATTTATATTTGGGGCTTATGAATATAGGAAAATTAGAATTTTTTGGAGAAGAGAAAACCCTAGAAAAAAATTCTTTTTTGTGAAGGAGAAGAGAATCTCGCGGTAAAGGGGACAGAGAGGTTTGGGAGAAAAGGGTTTAGAGAGAGAGAGAGAGAGAGAGAGAGGAAAGTTGGAAATGAGGTGAGCAAATGGGGAAAAAGGAAAAGGAAAGAGGAGAGGAGAGCGTGGTGAGATGATGGGAGTGAGGGTTTTGTTTGTTTAATGTGGGATAGGTAAAAGGTTTGTGATTAGGTAAGGAGTGACAAGTTTTTTTCTAAATTCTTACATAGTAATTTGTACTTTCCTAATTATATTGGATTTTAGTAAAACTTTTCGTTAAAATATTTTGGGAAAGTTTACTAAATGTGGGGTTCCAAGATTGTAAAAGGAAAGTATTCTTATGAAAGATATATCAAGAAAAAACTCCACGAAAAAAAGAATAAGAAAAGATTATTACATAAATTATTTATGATTTATTTTGTAACCAATTTTTTTCAAATAATTAATATGTACTTGTAAGAATGAACCAACTAAATTAATTCATATAATGTGGTTCCAAGTACAACCTTTTAGATATAATACTTTTTCCAAATTGAGAGGGGAAAAAATACGTTTATATTGTGACAAAATGAATGCATTTAAACCAACGAAAATAAAAAATTCACATATTATGTAAGGAGAAGATCTTTGTGTGTCCCTTAAAATTTGATCTTCTTCGAACCGGAAAAAAGCCCTACTTTCCTTTCTTCTCCAACTGATAACAACACTAAGAGAATAGCGATCAGCATCTTAAGTATGAAGTTGTTAGTACATATGAGTGTATTCTTATTTCTTTTTTTGTTAAATAAGATATTGATCAATAACTATTTAACTTTACAATATTTGGTCATGGATGTCCCACGGGGATCAAAACCATGGCTTGTAAAAAGGTAAAAATATTACAAAATAAAATAGTACTATTGTCACGACACTAAATTCTCACACCGTGATGGCGCCTAATATTTCACTTGCTAGGCAAGCAACGTTAGAACAATATATCCATTTTTCAACAATTTAAATTAAACAGTGAGAAAGAACTAAAATAACTGTAATAATCAAAAGTAAAATGCGGAAACTATAACAACTAAAATATCTGATACAACCCTTAACTCGATGTCACAAGTGCACGAGTTACTAGAATAGTACAAACAAGGGTCTGAATAAAACATAAATTTGTCTGAAGGAAAGTACACAGCTAAATAAAAGGAGAGGGGACTCTAGGAGCTGCAGACGCTGAGCAGTTGTACCTCAAGTCTCCACAAAGCTGTCCAATCCGAGCACGCTAATAACCGCCGCTGGGACCAACTCCAAAATCTGCACAAGAAATGCAGAATATAGTATGAGTACAACCGACCCCATATACTCTGTAAGTGCGAGCCTAACCTCGACGAGGTAGTGACGAGGCTAAGGCAAGTCACTCACACTACAATCTTTATGCAGTATATAATAAAGACAGAAGAAGGAAATGTAGAACAAAATAAGACAGTTAACTGAAGATAATAGCTACAACCTCAAGAAATAAACCAGTGATGGTCAGAATTGTTAATCCGTAGAGTTTCAAATGAAAATACCGAAAACCGACACAGCTCACGAAAATAGAAACACATAGGTTGTTGTGGCATGCAACCCGATCCAACCCATACAACACAATCCTATCTTATCCCCCCGTAATAATATCAACAATCATAATAAATATATGTTGCGGCGCGTAATCCGATCCCATCATATAACATAATCAATATCACAATTCACCCTTATTTCACCGTATTAATCCACCCTTATTTCACTTGACGCGGCTTACAACCCGATCACACCATATCAGTGCAAAATCACCCTTATTCCTCCGTGTCAATCCACCATTATTTTACATGTTGCAGCGTGCAACCCGATCCCACCATATAAGTACAATTATTCGCCGAGTACAATTAAATCCATATTTCAAATCACAAGAACTTCCAAAACTGATGAATATAAAGCTGAAACATAAAGGAAACCTTGCACCACTTGAAAATTTACATATGAAATACTATACGGCAAAACAAGTCCAGTAAATGACAATTAGAAGGTGCAAGTACATCAATTAAGGAAAATAACAGCAAGTCATGAAAGCATGAAGAGGTCTAACATTTTTAACAGGAGAAACAACGATTAACAAGTAGCAATTAAAACATGGAAGGCATTTGGGCACATAATAGTTAAGGCAGGGAAGGAGGTAATTAAGGAAAAGTAGAAAATCAGGGAAACAAGTAATTTGGCGGCGTATAAGCACTCGTCACCTTGGATATACGCCGCAACACATGAAATTCACATAGCACATAGTCAGAGGGTTCCTAATTCCCTCAAATTAAGGCTAAAATCAACGCTTACCTCACTTCATAATCAACTCAGAGCTCTACGGGAGCTTTTCCCCTAGAATCCGCCTCCAAACCACTCGTATTTAACCACAATTGACTCAATAATATCAAATATTGCTAAAGGAATCAATTACATGCATAAATTTAGAATTCCCACACTTTTCCCAAAAAAGTCAAAAATTGACCCGGGCCCGCTTGGTCAAAACCTGAGGTTCGGACCAAAATTTATTTACCCATTTACCCTCGAACCCGATTATGTAATTAGTTTCGGAATTCGACCTCAAATTGAGGTTTAAAGCCCTAATTTGAAAAAACCCTCAATTCTTCCTAAATCCCCCGTTTCTACCATGGAAGAATAAAGATTAGGGCTAGAAATTAATGGGGTGATGTTAGAAATGGAAGATAATGAGTTAAAGTGTACAAATCTATGAATTGATGTTGAGTTTTCCCTTTAAAATTGCCTCTAGGCCGAGCTCCAATGGAGAGTTTATCAAAAAATGGAAGAATCCCATTTTTGGTCTATTTTTAGTCATTGCGTCAGGCCTTCTTCGCATTCGCGATGTGCAACAACCCAAGTGGCCTTCACATTCGTGAGTTCGACAATGCGTTCGTAAAGGTTGTTCCCCCATGGCGTTCGCATTCGCGAGCCAGTGCTCGCGTTCGCGTAGAAGAAATGATTGTCCCCTTCCACAGGTCCCTAAAGCTACGTGTTCGCGTGAAGCTGGTCGCATTCGTGGAGGGTAAACCCCCCAACACTCCGCGTTCGCGACCCAACAATCGCGTTCACGATAAAGAAAGTCCCACCCAGCCCAGATCACTCTTCGCGATCGCGTGAGTACCTTCGCGATCGCGAAGAAGGAAACCAGATGATAGCTGAAGCTAAGGAAAAACAAGATTTTTCTAAGTTCCAAACCACCCGTAGCCTATTCGAAATTCACCCGAGCCTTCTGAGATCCAAACTAAACATGCACACGAGTCCAAAAACATTATACGAACTTGCTCGCATGATCAAAATGCCAAAATAATGCCTAGAACTATGAATCGAACACCAAATCAAATGAAATTTTTGAGAAAACTTTAGAATTTCTATTTTAACAATCAGACGTCCGAATCACGTCAAACCAACTCCGTTTCTCAACAAATTTGATAGACAAGTCATAAATATAGTAATGGACCTATACCGGTTCCAAAATCAGAATATGGACCCGGTATAAATAAAGTCAGGCATTGGTCAATTATTTAAAGTCATTAAACCTTTAAACTTTCAATTTTCGACAAAAAGCGATAACTCGAGCTACGGATCTCCGAATTTGATTCCGAGCATACGCCCAGGTTCCAAATCACGATATGGACCCATAAGAACCATCAAAAATAGATCCGGATTCGTTTGCTCAAAATATTGACCGAAGTCAACTCAAATGGATCTTTAAGGTCAAATTTCATATTTTATTATTTTTAACATAAAAGCCTTCCGGAAAAATACTTGGACTGTGCACGTAAATTGAGGAAGGATTAAAGAAGCTATTGGAGGCTTCGAAACACAGAATTAATGTTTGAAACTCTAGATGACCTATCAGTTCATCACATTCTCCATCTCTAAAACAACCATTCGTCCTTGAACGGGCATAGAAAAGTACCTAGGATGGTAAAAAGGTGTCGATATCTACTCTATATGTCCGTGTCAGACTCCCAAGTAGCTGCCTCAACCGGATGACCTTTTTACTACACTCAAACTGAAGGATAACTCTTTGACCTCAACTATCGAACTTGCTGGGCTAGAATAGCCATCGGTTCCTCCTCATAAGTTAAATCCTTGTCCAACTAGACTGAGCTAAAATTTAACACATGGGACAGATCACCGTGATACTTCCGGAGCATAGACACAGGGAACACCGGATGGACTGGTGATAAACTAGGTGGCAATGCTAGTTTGTAAGCCACCTCACCCACTCTCTGAAATATCTCAAAAGGTCTGATATACCTAGGGCTCAACTTGCCCTTCTTCCCAAACCTCACCTCACCCTTCATGGGCGAAACCCCGAGCAACACCCTCTCTCCGATCATGAATGCAACATCACAAACTCTACGATCGGCATAACTCTTCTGCCTAGACTGAGATGTGCAAAGTCGATCCTGAATAATCTTGACTTTATCTAAGGCATCTTGTACTAAATCTGTACCCAACAACCGAGCCTCTTCCGGCTCGAACCATCCAACTGGCGATCGACACCGCCTCCCATATAATGCCTTATAGGGAGCCATCTAAATGCTCGACTGATAGTTGTTGTTGTAGCCAAACTCAGCAAGTGTCAAGAACTGATCCCAAGAACCCCCGAAATCTATAACACAAGCACGAAGCATATCTCAGATTGTCCGTCTGTCTAAGGGTGAAATGTTGTGCTCAACTCAACCTGCATGCCCAACTCATGCTGTGCTGCCCTCCAGAAGTGCAAAGTGAACTGCGTACCTCGATCAGAAATGATAGACACGGGCACACTGTGAAGACGCACGATCTCGCGGATATAAATCTCAGTCAACTGCTCTGAAGAATAGGTAACTGCCACAGGAATGAAATACGCTGACTTGATTAGCCTGTCCACAATAACCCATACTGCATCGAACTTCTTCTGAGTCAATGGGAGTCCAACAACAAAATTTATAGTGATACTCTCCCACTTCCACTCAGGAATCTCTAACTTCTAAAGCAAACCACCAGGTCTCTGATGCTCACACTTTACTTGCTGACAATTTAGACACCAAGCTACATATGTAACTATATCCTTCTTCATCCTTCTCCACCAATAATGTTG